CATAATGTATTGTGTGTGTTGTTTTGTAAAATATCCCTTTTGTGTTCAGATAATCGCTTATTTAAATTCTTTGAGGTTTCTCTTATGTATTCTTCGTGGCAATTATTACAGGTAATGGAGTAAATTACTCCTTCACGTTTAAACTTATTATCATTCTGTTTTGTAATAATTAAGTCTTAATTAGTTGTAAAAAATTATAGTAAGCTTAGATAAATTCTTTTCAGTTGATATGAAAATGTATATATAATTGTTTCCCACTGTTTGAAATGTAATTATCATTGCTTTAAAAAAAAAAAAAAGATTAAAAGCAAATAGTATATTGACGCACCAAGGACTTAATCATCATTACCACCAATGATATATATCACTTATGGAATTGTTTCTTTGTGGAAATAATCCTAGATTCGAAAAATGAAATAACCATGTTGGACTTTAAAGAAAATCACTGTTCAGTCGGAAAAATATCTAATTATTTTGTCTATTACGACCTGTTAGAATAAAAGAAGCTTTTAATAGAAATCCTTTATTATTAACAACATCTGAAGATGTAAAACTTAGAAGAGACATTCTCATTTGATCAACATCAACTTATAAGTCTTCCGAATGACAAGGGAAGCCAATATTTCTCAAATTAAACCGACAAGAAGCCTAAATACATTCTAACTGAACAGGCTTAGCTCTTTTTACATAATCACGTCACTGGAAAACTTTCCAACGAGAATCATTTAGCGAAAAGAGAAACGCAGCAGAATCAGAAATCATATAAAAAAAGAACATGATAATTTTTCAACTGACAAGAAACCATTTTTCCATCTCTAGGATTTATAAATATCTAGTCAGGATAACGATACTTTCTTCTACAAAATAATTGATTTGAATCCTGGTAAAACCAATTTTCGAATATTAATATTCCAGACAAATAACAGATCGTTTCTGTTAATTCACTCCTAAATAATGTAAAGTTACTTATTGCAAATATTAATTCCCCCAAGAAATTATAAATTTTAAATCAAAATTTGTTTAACTTACCTCGCAACAACTCCAATCCTCAGAATGAAAAATTACCAAAAATCAGGGACTTATTCACATTTCGTAAGTGTGGATGATATTACGAGGTACTTACAAGGAATTTTTACAATTAAAAAAAAAAAATCAGATTTTGGCTTGGTAAACGGGGTCAGCGTGAATGGTGACCTCACCCTTAGAAATAGCGTACCCGACTCGCCCACATTTGAAGTGATAGCAAAGGTCAATCCATCCGGAGTATAATGGAAGGGCCTCACTTTGGGAGAATTTGGTGTGAATTTTAATAAATATAATTATTTTAAGGGTGGATGAATTAATATTTTGGGGTGAATTAACAGAATAGATAACAAAGGGCAGTTTTCAATTATTTCCATTTAAATTTGTCATGGGTTATGTTATTTTTTTTACTCTAAAATTCATAAAAGGCAAAACAATCATTCAAATTAATTTTCAAATTACTTTTAATATAGTGTGGTAGGCATAGTCAACCGGAATCAGAGTCAAATGGCAGAAATGGTGAACAAGTCTTGCCTTCTTCTCGACGAAAGAGAGTTCATCTTTGTCTGGCAGGTAGGACTTCGATTTAGAAGGCGAGTACGAGACGAGTAAAAAAAAACCTTCTTTGTTGTCTCACAATAAATTGGTTCATTAATGACTGTGTATAATATTAGCGTGGTTGGACGGAATCGAGGAGGGATATCTGAGTGTACTAGTGCCCCATTCTGATTGGCCCATATGTCTATCATCCGGGCGAGTGATTGGTGATTCCCCATTATAAGTAGACCAACGTGGAGATGAGAAAGGTCTTCTGTCGGGGTACATCGTACTATACATTTAGTTATGGTCGATCGATCGATCGACCGACGAAGCGGATACAGGGAAGAGAACAACGATAAATACGAAGAAACCGCTGTAGAGAGAAGAAACGCCCAATCTGAAATTACGTGCCAAAACAGAGTTGCTATCTTCTTTTGACCACATATAGTTATGATATGAGTGAAAGTTGGGGGTGGTATCAAATGGGGGCGGTATGAAATGAGGATGGTGAAGATAGATATCGATTGACACTGAAATTGAAGCGGTTAAGAATATACAGTCCAGGAGAAAATCCACGACGGTATATATTTGAAGGAGCAGATCTTTGGAAAAAGCTTATCTGAGTAAAAATAAATCCTTACATTTGAAATAGGGGATAAAACGAGTTCAATTCGACTCAGTGGAAGTAGTATAGCTTGCTCAGGCAGTAAGGGTTTAAATTAGGGAAAGTTCATCTGAACATTTGCCATGGAAATAGCGATAGGCTTACAACTTTGCGTCTGTTAGAAAGAGGGTGCAACATGAGTAATACGCCTTTCTTATGCCACAAGATCACAGAAGCAGTGTTGAACACCTTTCAAGATTGCGATGAAATGAATGACAGAAAAATGTTTATTCCCCACGGTTAACAAAGATCGAAGTTCAATTTCAGATCAAAGCTAATTAAAGTAGCAGGCAGATTTTTCTTAATTCAAATTTCAGTTCATACTGAATATTTTTGTCGTTGTAACTTGCATAATTAAAACAGCTTAAATATATATATATATATATATATATATATATGTTCTCACTCGAGCGTGTTAGTAATGACAATGAGAAAAACATTTTTGTGATACCCTTGCGTCTTTATGCAAGAATAGGCTAATTTTGTTAAACCCCAATGAAGTTTAATTCAGACTATTACTATCTTTATTGTTCCAAGTACTTTCAGTCTCATCTGAGGCCATCTTCAGGGGCTTAATTGTATAGATAAAAAATGGCCTCAGATGAAATTGAAAGTACTTGGGAAAATAAAAATTATTTCAAAGAGAATTTTGGTATTTTTCTTAACCAGATTTTTACGGACACCCAAGAATTAATTCGTGGATTCGAAAGGATTAAAACTATATATATATATATATATATATATATATATATATATATATATATATATATATATATTTACGCATGTGCGAAAGTCATCCGAAATGGCAAGCAGGAAGAACTGCTTCATTAATAAAAGACAGGTGAATGCTGAGACAGGTGAGAGCGGCTGACAACGGAATTTTATTCGCCCAGAAACAGGTGATGCATCGGTTGGCAGGAAGACGCAGCGCATAGAAAAGATTTCGGGGATGCAATACATTCAATATTTTTTCTGCTTTCTAATTTGCTGTTTCTTTTTTTCTTTATTTGTTGTTTTTTTTTTTTGTTTTTTTTTTAGGATCTCTATTTAGGAGAAGTGCGCAATCGCTCGCATATACGAATTTACAGCCCATAAAAAAAAAAAAATATTAACCAAGACATGCTTCCATATAAAATAAATAAGCACACTGTTATATATATATATATATATATATATATATATATATAAAATAACGAAAAGAATATAAATTCAAACGTTTATAGTATTAATTTAAAAATGTTTCAATACTAGAATAGACGAATAGATATCTATTATAAACTGTTACATTGCAACATCGAAGTTACCACAATAAAAATGCATATTTGTTTCAACGTCTAAAGACGACTCACCAGATGGTTAACGTTGAAACAAATATGCATTTTTGTCGTTGTAACTTGCATGTTCCAATGTAAACAGCTTCCAATATATATATATATATATATATATATATATATATATATATATATATATATATATATATATATATGCGTGTGTTCACTGAGCGTGTTAGTAATGACAATGAGAAAAACATTTTTTCTGTGATTTCAGGACTCCATCGGACTAAAGTAATGTTTACGTTGATAATTTTCCATACATTTTTATCTTATTTATAGATTTAAAGATAAGTTTCTTCCATACATACTTATATATATATATATATATATATATATATATATATATATATATATATATATATATATATATATATATATATATATATATATGGGAGGAGGGTATATATATGAATAAAAAGAAACATGAGGAAAAATTAGTCGTTTTCTGCTCTGAGGGGTTTTATCAAAGCAATGTAGGCTTTATTATGCAGCTCGTATTTATATACAAATGTGATGCCAATGGGCGGAGCGAACAACGGTAGAAAATGTCGTGAATACGGCAGTAAAGATGAGGACAACAGCCCGGACAATGTAAATAGTGTAAATAATTACCATACTTCATCTCAGAAATATAAACATCTCTTTTCTTTATTCTAGTCCTTTTCCTCCTTTTTTTTCTCTTAAAACTCCTCTTCCCCCCCTTGATCTCTCTATGGTATTGGTAGCATCTTTCTGTAGAACCACATCTCTGTTCTCCCAGATCTTCTCTTCATTTATGAAAAAATTGTCCAGCATTCATTGATATATTAGAAGATACGTTGGCAAATAAACCTGTGGACGAACCATGTTATGATGTGTTAAAATTAATTTTGTGCCCTTCTGACTGAACACCTCATCAAACGAAAGAGGAATGGAACACACAGCTGCTAAAATATCGTCTTAAATACAACAGAGACGAGGAAATGAACCCGAAAGAACTACTCTGAAAGAGTATCTGGAATTGGGATTATTAAATGAAATGAAATGGTATTATTAAATCGAATTATGTTCGATTTAATCGTACCACACGTAAATGGAAATAATATATTTAAGAAGTGATACCAAAGAGAAGTCTTTGCCAAAATTAATTGTTTTACTAGCACTCTCCCCATTCGAGCTAAAATCTCTCAAAGAATATATTGCTTTTTGCTAACTCTCAAATTAATAATTGTTTGTTTCCGTTTGTAACAAAGACGGAAGCCAATAGAGCGAATTTATTAAATTAATTTTATTTCCTTGTCATTGCAAAAATCATTCAAGTGGACGGATTCAAAATGTCTCTCTTCTCCTTCCTGTATGTTTTCAAAGTTGATACTACTGAGGTATTTTTGTGGCGAATAAATCTGTCTATGCCGTATTGAAGCGGCGACAGACGCTGTTAGTCCGTATAAAATAAAGAC